ATGTTTTTTTTTAAAACTTGTGTTTTGGGAAAAAAAAAAAAAAAAATATATATATATATATATATATATATATATATATATATATATATATACTGTGAAGCATAAATTAGGAGCAGCATAAGCAGAACCTTCAAAATATTAATTCATTTCTTTACTTTTTTGGTCTGAATCCAATTAAAAACCTGTCATCTAACAACAAAATATAACACCACCATCAACTTTAACCTGAACTCTTTCTTCAACTGGAAACACAATCTCTAGAGGTTTCAAATCTTTTATTAGAAAACGCAAAGAGCTTCTGCATTACTCACAGTATAATAGCCATTCTCGTCAGTAAGACTGCTTAGACTTAAAATTGATACTCTGGCTCGAACAGATTTAAATAAATAGAAATATTTTGAGCCAAACTGGCCCTGCCAAAATTTATATTCACAGAATACAGTTTGCAGAGCATATCAGGAGAAGCCAGTCAGCTCTTGCTTTGGGTGCGTGCAGGACATAAGATGGAGCATTGCAACTACTTCCACAGTAAATACCAGTTTCAGCCTTTTTCTGGTTTGCATGATCCATAAGTGTTCTCCTCCCCCTTTGTGAAGTGACAGGGGTACTTATGCAAAGTAAAGATTACATTTTAACTTAGTCAATGCTGTCCTCCTGAATGAGAAGTCCACACAGACTGAGCTTTCTGCCAGAACATCAGAGACACAAGGGATTTGCTAACTTGTTATCATGAGAATCCAGCCGTGTCATGCCAAGGGAATGGAGATGGTGCCGTTTGCTTGACTCCGACTTCGAGTCTGGCCACTGGACTCTGTCAGTTCCTCTCCGTGTTCCTCGGACTTCTTGTCAGCAATGTTGGCGAAGAATCGAAGGGTGACTGAGTCCCACTCCTCTGGCAGCAGCAGGAGCAGAAACCCCAGGCAGATGATGCAGGTGGCAGCCAGCCGCACCACGCTGAAGATCACCTCATGTTTCAAAACATCTACAGCTAGACATGAATCAAAGAGGGAGGCAAGAAGTAGAGCGGGCAGAAAAGAGGCCATGGAGGGTGTCAGTGAAACAAAAACAAATTCAGATTAATTACATTAAGTAAGATAAACAGCAGGACTCTGGCTGTGGGGGATGAGTGTAATAAATGCGGCTTATAATCAGCGCAAGCGATCCACTTGATCCTCTCCGTCTTTGCGATCAGGAGCTCCGGGACAGGTTGCCGTAACCCACTGACCTTCATCCAGCACATTGTGGTTAAAGAAAAGAAGTGGACTGCAGGCATTTAGTGTCGCCGTGGCAACCCGATCCTCCCTCAGCGAGATGATAGTTGCAGGGTCTGTTGTGGCGCACCAATGATTGGATTTCCAGGATGGAAGAAGCAGACTTGCTGTGTAATCTGTTTGCACTTGTGGCCCTTAGTACTGATCTCACAGTACAAGGACCCCAGTGTGTGTGGATGTTCAGTCCTCTTTAACGACTGTGTTCACTTACAGTGAAACGAAGGGGATCTAATCAGAACATCAGGAGTAATGTTGGAGAAAATTAAAGATTTACATACCTGCATTTCCAGGCACACTGAGCAGTGTCCCTATGGAGATGAGGATGGGGTAAGTCAGCACCACGCCGACATGGACCAGAATATTAAAGACTGGAAAACACATGGACAAAGTTAAGCAGAACTAAATTTGTTGAGCTTAAACAATGTGTTGAATCAGATTTGGTAGGAAAATTTGTTTTCTGCAATGAAGCCTATACACACTGTTAAAACATCAAAATACTGTCGGATTTAAACTGGGAATGCTGGTGTGTAACTACTAGGTTTCTAATTTTTGTTGCTAGTACAGACTTTAGGTACAGCTTACAGTGCCTTGAAAAATAATTTAAATCGCTGAAACCTTTCTTGACAGACTTCAAGTATTTTGTGATTAATCAACACAAAGTAGCTCATAACTTCACAGTGGAAGGAAAGTCCTTCGAAATGAATAAATTAAATTCTGAAACAGTATTGTGAATTTATTCTGACGATCATTAATAAAATCAATTGAAGTCCATTGCATTCAGAAGAATATTTATAACATAATATCCCAATAAAATACATTAAATTTGCAAATCTGTTTTCTATGACACTCTTTAGAACATGCTTTAGTACATGCTCTCTCACCCAGCCACAGTCCTGCCAGTCCAAACAGGTAACCCCAGGGTAGTGAAGACAAGGAGCCCAGGTGCTCCACCCTGGTGAAGTAGAGGATGAGGGGAACACAGGAGATGAAAATAAGGTTGAAGAAGCCCATTGTTGAAATAAAATGAGCAACCTCTCCAAGGTTAGCGCTGCCAAGGAACATCTTAAACAGAACCTGGAAGGTGAGGAAATAATAAGACACTCAAAACAGACTTAGAGATAATTACTGTTTTGGTACAATTGTTATACAGCCATCAGCCTGACCTTATAGAGAGCTGAAGTTGAGGCAGAGCCCACAGCCAGAGCCACACCCACAAATGAATCACCATGAAAACCATCTGCATAAGCCATCATGACTATACCTGTGATGGCCATTATGGCAGCAACAATCTGTCCATAGAGAATAACAACCATCAGAGCCAAACACACACAGTTGTATGAACTGTCTCTATATTTCATACAGACCCGAACACCCATGAACCGGTCCTTGAGGACAATCCATGAGAGGAGAAAGACAAAGGCTTTGTGGCAGCAGTAGAGGGCAGAGACGTCAGTGGCAGTCAGTTTCTTCAATGCTAAGAGGTACAGGTAGTTGGTCAGTGTCCATAGGATGGAGAAGGGTGCAGTCCTCTTAACAAACAGCTTGAGAGTCATTCCATCCTCCCCAAAGAGTTTACTGCACTCCCTGAAGGTGAGAAATGTTGCATTGGAGTAAAGTTTAATTAGCTTGTTTTGCCATTTTTCCTCAAGAATACCCTGATGGTTTGAATAGCACCTGTCCTGCTCCAGTGGAGATTCACTTCAAAAGGTGCTATTGACAGGTGCTATTCATGGTGTGTTCAGTTACTTGGAAAACAAACTTTTCAAGGTATCCTGCTACTTTTAGATGTCTCTCTGCTTCACCACTCCAGGCTCTAATAGTAGCTTATTAGAGCTACTAATAAGCTCCGTGACCACAGGGGGACCGTACACAGTTGCCCCTGTGGTCAACTGTGTACGGTCACCTGATGCCCATTAAGTAGGTGTAAATCTGGGACACTTGAACTAAATGTCCCACACTTGACATTTAGTTCAAGTGTGGGACAAGGGACACATCTAAAAGTTGCAGGACTCTGGCCGTTGAGGAATGCAGTTTGAGACCACTGATCTATACCCACTGTTCATGCAGGGTTGTGGAGGGCTGGGACATATCTTCAGCAGTCATTGGGTGAGAGGTGGGATATACCACCTCTCACAGGACAAGCAATCATATACACACACACATAAACCTCAGAAAAATTTAGAGTAATCAATTAACTTTACACTCATGTTTTGGATTATACCAAGTGAACTCACACATCTACAGGAAGAAGAGTCCAGGATTCAAACCCAGGACCTGTTTGCTGCTAACTGAACTACAGTGCAGAATAAGGAATTTTAGGAGGTTTACCTAAATTTCTGAATGGGAGTCTGCTTCTCGCCTGTGGTAAAAACATGTCCAGAGTAGTATATGGGGAAGAAGAAGATGTTCCAGTTGCTGCTGAACCAGGAGATGAAGAAGGGACAGGAAAAAGACTGGAAGGTCAGCTTCACCACCTGAGTGGTACCCACCCACGAGGAGGACACGCACAACACCATCAGAAGACCACCCAGCACCTTCAGAACTGTGTTGCCACATGTCTGGTAGGACTGACTCTCGATGCTGGTGTCGCTGCCTGGGGTCTCTGGTCGAGACTCTGAACCATCCTCTCCTGGGGAGACAATAGGAAGGAAGAAAGCAGTCTTATAATGACTGCATCATATTCATCATATTCTAACAGCCAGACAGTCATACTGTAGTATGACTGTCTGGCTTGCGTCCCATCACACAAGCATTATTGATCGACTGCTTTCATTGATCATTACCTCAGTCTGCATTTTTTGCTGGAGATGCACTAATGTCTGAAGAAAGGAATAGTTTAAAATGGATTGGGTTTGCATGGTGGCTGTACATGTCATAAATATAGCTTCGTCACCTCATGATGCAGCATGTACTGCCTTGCCCCTGTGGTCAACTGTGTACAGTCACCTGATGCCCATTAAGTAGGTGTAAATCTAACCACATGACTTTCCACAAGAAAGTCATGCCAACCTTGGTACTCAAGCTGGTGCAGACCAGCTGTGTTTTTATTTATAGACAGAGGAGTTGACTGATGTAGCAATGGGCAGACAATACTTTAATCTTCCATCAGTGATGCAGATCTGGCTTTGTGCCCTAATGGACAAAGCACAAAGAAATGGCTCCTGGACCTTAACTGTGCTGTAACACTTGAAGTGATGGGTCTGTGTGTGCATTTACGGGGAACACTTAGATCTTTCGTCTTTAGTTTCTTTTTTTTTCCTTTTTTTTTTTTTACCTCTCAACGGTGTGATCAATTTACACCAAGGCAGGAATAAAAGATGACATGTGCTGGTTGCTGTTTGCTTTTTGCAAGTTCAGCGCATGAAGCTCTGCTGTGTAACTTATGATTCCTCATTATTGCATCGAATAAACTTTTGTTTGTTATCTATAATGAGACAACAGCAGCGAAACAAGTAACTGAACTTCAAATAGTCTGTCATCAAAGTGCTTTGTACCGAAGCGCTACAATCCAAATGAAATCTTATTACAGGTTAGCAATGTTTGACAGGAGTTCTTCTAACAGTTGTGAAAAGTATTAAATGTAGTTTTACTGTTTAAATAAAACAAGAGACAAAAAAATGGGATCTTTTTGAAATCCTCATTTAGCTTGTTAATTTAACAAATTCATTACAAGATAAATAATTATTTTCACATCGTTTATGTTCCAAACAAAATGATTTATTTTGCTTGTACTTGATGTGATGATACAACACAGAGTGCAGCTGCAATTCTTTTGGTGTGTTTCACTTCCAGCTGTACAGATCAAAGAAATATATTTGCTACATTTCTCTCAAAGCTTAGATGGAGAAAGTCTATGAACATAATTTTTCAAGTCTTGCCATGGATTCTTAAATGGATTAAGGTCTGAAATTTGACTAAAACATGGAGATGTTGCAGTCAAATTACATTTGACTGCATTACATTTCAGATCTGGTTTTGTAGACACGTTTTGTTCCAGAAATGTAATCTGTTTAGCTCCATCCATCTTCGCATCAACTCTGACCAGCTTTCCTGTCCTTGTTTGAAAACAGCATCCCCACAGCATGACACGACCGTCACTATGCTTGATTTGTTCAGGGTGATGTGCAGTTATAGTCTTCCTCCACACGATGTTTTGCACCTACGAGTAAACTGCAAACCAGACGTCTTATGGCTTTCTGTCAACAATGGTAGATAGGTTGAGATTTTATTGATCCCTTCGGGAAAATTTAACAAAATAGTTGCATCAGTTTAGCAATGTAAATTGCACTTTCCAGATGTGTGGAGTTTACAACTAATACCCATCTTGTCCGTAAGAGCCTCTTGGCTGCTACTCTGATTATTCTTTCCTTGAACAGTCAGTTTAGGTGGATAGCTTGATATCATTGCAGTCAAATGCAGACAAAACTCTGGGGTCTTCAAAGAACAGCTACTGAGTTGCAATTACACACAGGTAGATTCTTCTACTGGATTTTATTTAGGGGCGTCAGCAAAAACATATTTTGTAGAGATTTTTAGGGAAAAGTAATGTCTTATGAATTCTTAATTTAAATGAAACACAACCAAAAACATCAGCTTCTTTCATCAATATTCAGACTATATCACTTTAAAGTTTTTCTCTGTCTGGGATGGATCGACACTGAACCGTGAAAGTAAAAAAAAAAAAAAAAAAAAAAAAAAACCCCCCCAACATGGTTTATTTTAGCAAGTTCATCCAGGGATTTGGTCTAATTACATTCTGTCACTGCAAAAGTTCTTAATCAACCTAATGAGTCTGCTGTGTGCTAGATAGGAAAACTGAGAACTGAAATTCCTGCAGGATCGAGGGAATTTTTTTATTCTTTTATAGGCTTTCCTTTCTTTTCTGAAAGCCAACACAGAAAGCACTGTCATAACTCTATATGCATGCACCAGGAAATGAGCTAAACCATTTTCTTGATCAGTTTTGAATGGGAATGAGGACAAACCTTTAAGTATACTGCAAATTTAAACTAAATTACATAAAACTGGGATAATTTACATTTAGTTTCTAAGGAAACACCATGAAAATTTGTATCAACATTTTATCCCACAGAACATTGTAGCAGAGGATCTTTCACATCCAGCTCCTACTTGGACAGCTTATCAAATCTGTGTGATGCAGTGTACTGCTAGAAACTCGTATTTCAATCCATCTTGCGTTTTATCCCCACCACTAACGCTGCATGCCAGCAGCACTGATTGATGGAGCTCCGCTGAATCCAATAAGAAGAACCCAGTAATGTCTGCAGCGTTAGTGAGCCTGACTCTGGGCCGTACACACCAAGTCTTTATCCTAATTAGACTGGAAGCTGTGTCATGGATCTGATGAAACACGTGAAAAGTTGATTGGATGTAACATTATGTAATCTCTGATATAGAAGGTGAGGGTGGAGGGTGTCTGTGTGACAGTTTTAAGATAAATAGGAAAGTTTTTTTAATTGAATGCAAGAAGGATAGTTGAGCAGGATAAACAGATGTAAAAATGGGTGAGGTTTAGGTCTTAACATGCTGCAAAAAAACAACAAAAATATTCAAAAAAAAAACCTCTTAAACAGCATCATATTTTCTAGGTAAATTCCCTTTGATTTTAAACCCTGTGACGTAAAGGTAGCCTCTAAAGTTTTTAGATTTGCAGATTTTTGCAGTTCATCTATTTAATTTTTTAAACATAAACCTAATTTTGTAGTACCAAATAGCCTTTCTGAGCTAGTTCTGACAGTAACCCACTTCATGCCAAGTCTAAATAGTGGTCAAGGCCTCAGTTTACCTTCAGAGTTGGGGCAGGTCAGGACCTGCGTGCTGTATGAGCTGAGAGGAGCCACTCGGGCCGAGTGCTTCTTCATTCTCCACTGGGGGCACCACACACTCTCCTCCCGTGGAAGGTGTGTGTGGGTGTGTGAATGCGGGTGCACAAGCCAAAACACTCAGCAGCTCCCTCTGCTACCTCGGTGCATTCTCAGAATGCTGACTGCCCCTCGCTTCGTCTCCGCACACTTCAAAGGCCCCTTCCCGTTAGCAGACCACTCTTCGTCTTCGGTCCAGACTTTTCTGGAAGTCGCCAGTCCACCGTCCTAAACGTCCCTGATGCTGTCCTTCTCTCCGGATAGCTACACAGCTCAGTGGGAGTGAAGTGGAGGCTCTACAGTTGCACTGGTATGCAAAGCTCCAGCATTGCTACTGTCTCCAAGGGAGAATGCACTTCAAGTCTGTGTGGCAAGGCACAATCACTCACCTCATCTCTTTCTGTCCTCCCCCTCTTTCCTATCTGTCTCTCTGTCTCGCGTTTCCCCTCCTCTTGTTTTTGCTTCAACAAATCAGCAGCTTTGTTTGGAAGGTAACCAAGCAGCCCTGGCTGATTATGCTGCGTTAGCTGTGGCCCCATCCTTTCCTCCGCTCCATCCTCCTCCGTCCCCCCACCTCTCCACCTGACCAGGCTACCCTGGCTTCTTCTACACTTTTGTCCTCTTTCTCCCCCCTTTTCTTAGCTCATCTCCTGCTCTTGGCTGCTCCTTAAGAGTCAGATGTATTTGTAGAGCTTCTTCTTGTTGCCTCCACCACGATAATCAAGTGAGCCACAAGGTATAAAAAAAAAAAGACGTATTTTTTGTTCATGTGAATACATGGCATTTCAGTACTGGATTTTATTACAAAAACAGGACATTTTAACGCCCTTCTTGCCGAGAAGATGAATAACACTTCACATTTAACGTCATGTGAATCTATTTACACATTTGTTGTCCCAAACATATTTATTAGCATCCTGGGTAAGCTACATTTAAAATAAAATTGCTGGAGCAAAACATAAATAGTGATTAAAAAGCTTTTTAGTTATCCACAATGAAAAGAAATATATTCAAAGTTAAATGTTTAATTTTATCTACGATGGACTGGTGACCTGTGCAGGGCCCTCTCAACCGCACTAGGGATAAGGATGTAGGATAATGGATGGATGGATGAATTTTATTAAAATTTTCACTGTAATTAAATTATATGTGTATATATATATATATATATATATATCTAAAAAAATCTTTTGACCAGGAGTGCCTATACAAGTGTTGCACACTTGAAACAATAGAGACATGCAGAGGTTGTAAATTTCTTTACTTTCCGTCTTTTTCTGAAAATACAAACAACATTCATAAGTCTGACGTGCGTCACTCTGATGGCCACTATGTCCTACTGAGCTTACGTTCTCCTTACAGCTAATGGAAGATTAAGATTAGAATATCACACCAGACTAACAAAATGTATATTTTTAATTGAGAATAAAATGCTTAATAACTGCTTAAAAGTTTATATTTTCAAAAGATACGTTTGATCTAATAAACATTGCTCATCTGGATACACATTCTAGCTTATTGATTATGACTGTACAGAGGTAGCCACTTGGATTTCATTGTAGTTTTTAAAGATTTTTTGGGCCCCAGTGGTCTTTATTGAGCTGTAAATGGACAGGAAAGAGAGAGCAGAGAGAAAGTAAAGACATGAAGCAAATGGACCGAGACCGGGAATCTAACCCAGGACAACCTCATCAAGGGCTACGGTCTCAGGTGTGTGTGCTCCACCAACTGAGCCACACATGCCCCTGATTTCATTCTTGTAACAACTTTTAATAGGTGTTTCTTTATACCCATTTGTAGTAAATGTTTCCAGTTGTCTGAGAATGCCTACATTAAATATTTACTTTGTGATGCTGCCGCTACTGTAAAGATATTCAATATCTTTATTCCATCACTTTTGCGCAAGGGGAACCCTCCCATCAGAAGCTATGTGGTTTTAAGAGTCATCTGCAGGATTGTAAACACAAGTTTCCATTTCAAGGAAAGCCCTCTGGTCATTCAATCTTTACCTGTGGTTTGCCTGCAAACCACAGGTAATGGACCAGCGTATTTGTTCAGCCTCGATTTTAATAACATGCCAGTGCTCAGTGTGTGCAGTCAGATGTGCAGGGCTGTGAAGGAAGTAAGCACATTTTTATGTAACATGCCATCAAACTCGGGATGGAAACTGGTGTTTCGACCCAAAAGTCAGAAAATAATAAAGGACACACAACGTGAGTAGTGGTTTGCAGTAGGTTTGTTTTATCACACTGAGCTTGTTCTCCACCCACCTTCTATCTTTTCTTAGAGTCCTCATCGGTTAAAGCTTCGCTACAACTACAAAGAGCATCACAGATCAGAGCGACCCTTTCTGCTGTTCGGTTGTGTGTTACAATTGGCCAAAAGTGGGTCACATCACAAAAACATGATCATTTCTGTGTTTACATGCAGAGAAAATTTTTTTTACTACAATCACTTTTGCCCCTTGGATTTTTCCACATCTTGCTGTTAGAACTGCAAACTTTAATGTACTAAATGATGAATTTTGTGATAGATCAAAGTTTCACAATGGGGAAGTGGGAGGAAATGTATACAAGATTCCCAAATTGTTATTTTAGAAATAAAAATCTATAAAAGAATGGCATATGTTTATATTCAAATCTCCTGAGTCAATGCTTTTAACATCAGCTGCAATTACAGTTGCTAGTCTTTTGGGGTAAGTCTTTTACAGCTTTAAGTTTAGTTCATTTCACAGACTCTTGGCTGGATTTAGGTCTGAGCTTTGACTAGGCCATTCTAAGATATGATTATGCTTTGAACTAGAAGCATCAACCATTTCATTGCATCTCTGACTGTAAGTTTGGTTCAGCAGGAAGTTAAACTTTGACTCTTCATATTAAAGAGGGATGAAGCCAAATTGGTTTTAGTACAGTTCTTCAAATTTTAAATAAAACAATAAAATAAATAAACCATGTATCATCTCCCTTTCACTCCAGAATCATGCCCTAATTTGTGCCTCTCTCAATGACATACTCTAAACCTTGTGGCTATACTGTGACAAAATGTAAAAGTGTTCAAATAGTTGTGATTTACTATATGTAAATTCTGTTCCCGTGGTCACTCGATAAAAAAAAAAAAATCTATGAAATGTAACGGTTGTAAGAACAGATTAGAGGATATATGGGAGGAATCGATTCATCTGGGAGGGTTAAACTCAAAAATAGCTCTGCTGATGAATGGAGCCAACAACCAGACAGCCAGTCAGCAGAGCCAGGGATGCTAATCACTATCGGATTAAGAGAAATACCTGGAGTAAAGACACAAGAGGAGGCTAAGGATTAACTTCAAACTGTACATTGGTGATCCTGCATTTGGAGATGATTGCTTATTTCTCTATTATTTACCTTTTTATGCTGTTCTGTCAACAACCATTAGATAACATCACAGACTCAGCTCCATCTCACATCTTGTGTTTTCAGTAGCTTTAAAATACACAGCTGTGGCAACGAAATAGCGCCACAGCTAATTAGAGGTTTACATAGACTAATCAGCATGAATTAAATATTAATTCTGGGGTTTATTATGGGTATTCAAACTGTTCTTTTTTGGTGTTTAGTATAATTATCCAATGTAAAACTTCAATGAATTTTAAAACAGAAATTTAACAATTTGAATTTGTTGTGCATTTTCTCTCATTCAAAAAGGTTCAATCTACATGTGCACTTACAGTAATATTTGGTTAAATAGTGCAGACAAATTCCACACTTCTGCAACTACAAACAGGCTTATGGAATAAATATCCAGTCTGAATTACTGATATTTACATAACGCCCTCATTAAATGATGGAGTTCACTGAAATTGTTTAGTAGTTCGCAAATTTTCAATAGCACTGAGCTAATGAGATTCTCGAAGTTTAATTTTAGTATGCTTCATTCATTGCAAATTCAGTTTAGATCTATATTTAGGATCATTGTCCTGTTCCCCAGATGTTTCTTGACCGTCATTTCAAGATAGCCTGTCTTTATATTTTGTCCACTTTGCGATTGAAACTGGCAGCAAAAAACTGGTAGCATGATGCTACCACCACTTTGCTAAACATTTGTAGTAGCAGCCTTAGGCCTGAAAGCCATTTTTTTTTACAACAAAATTCAGGTAATTGTGACTAAACTGTTCAGTCTTTAACTTATTTAATCATCAAACGTTTCTCCAAATGGTCTTTGGATAATCTGTGTATAAATTTTAATCCAATTTGACATTCATGCTGAGCTGAAAACTTGATTTACAATTTGCTTCACTGTGGGTAGCATAGTCCAGCTAATGACATTTGGTGGAGGTGTGTTCATGTGTTTGAGCCTGTATGTATAGTACTGACTATGTGTGGATTAGAGAAACTCCCCTTAAATTTTAAATTTTTTCAGTCAATTGTTGCTTCCTTTTGGGACCACTTTTAAATTACCTAGTTCTTTGTACAGTTTAATTCTGTCTTTAAATTAGCATGACAAAGTACAGTTCTGGCTAGCAATACATGTACAAACATCTGTCTCAAATAGTTTTTGAAATAAAGCAATCTGTAACGTAAAATTCAAAATAATCATTTGGAGCCTGTGTGTAAATTAAAGCTGGTCTGCATGCATTACAAACCCCAACACAATATAGTACAGCATCCTCGCGTTTTTCCTCCATAGCAACTGTGTTGCTCCTGTGCACACTGACGCACTTAGCCCATTCAGACTCTTTTGTCATGTAGATGAACCAAATGCTCCTCAGTTTATAGTAAAAAGCTCTTTGTCGTTTGCGTCTCTCCGTTACACTTACCAGGTTCTGCCGAGGATCAGGACCAAAGCACAGAGACAGACGACACTTATTTTAGCTGAAATGGGAACTGAAAACCTCTGAACATTTTTCTGTAAGACGGCCAGGTGTGTTTCCTGTCCTCTTGGTGGCAACATAAGAGGAGTGGAGGATGAGGACACCTAGTGCTGAATATGATCCATTACAAGCAGTAACAGAGCTGGCTTTTAGTGAAATTAGATGATTCGCTCAGAGAACAATCGTTACTCTATGCTGAGATGCTACAAATTATTACATTTAATTAAAAACAAGAGTAATAGTTGCACTGATTTGTGTATGTCACAACACATAATTGAAAAGATGAAAGCTACGTTCCCCAATACCAATTAAATTGACAGAGACCATGCTATAAAAACTACAAAAAAGAACCAACAGAGGGATTGTATTTTCAAAAATGTTTAAATGCAATGAAACTTTATCAACTCATCTGTATATTGTGCACAACTTTGTTTTATGATTTTATAATTTTAGACTTTTATGAATTGCACAGGCTAATTTTCTTACTTTTTTGTATTTATTTTTTCCCTTAGAGTTGAAATGAAATCCCACGGTGCTTATAATCTAAGGGACGTACACATTTATGCAGCCAAAGTTTAATGCAGCTTTTGTATTTTGTTATGATTATACTTAGAAATTAGTTCAGTTGTTTTTTGCTATTATTCCCTAACTTCTGGGAATATCCCTTGGCCCTATATTGTGTAGCAAAAAGCAGCCAGAAAAAAGTGTAGTTAGTGGATTTGTTTATTTGAGCTATTAAAATTATCCACCACAAGAGGGCAGTGTTTACACTTCATATATGACCACTGTCCCTGAGCAACCTTTAGTGCAATGCAAATGCTGTTAGAGCCATTGCTTTCAGGATTCAGTTTTTCTTTTTTCTCTCTTCAATTACAGCAAGTGTCTTAAAAACTTTCAGAGATCAGCTAAAATACTAAATCCCCTTACAGACAATACAAACGCATCTCACCGACAGTGGTGTGGCTTCTGGACAGGTCAACTGTTCTGTAGCTGCTGCAGTAATAAATTGCACCCATTACTTGCAGGGTGTGTTGCTCATATACAAGTATGCCCAGAGCTTAAGACTAGCAGCACCCTAGAAGCCATTCAGGCAAAGCTTATATCCCATTCGTTGGGCTGGTTATAAATAGCACAAAGTGAGCAGGCTGGAAGGGCCGTTCAAAATAAGTCTGTGTGCACAAAGAATGTTTCAGAAAGAAAAACAAGGTTCAACTGTTTGGAGACCCTAACCCCATAAATGATTTCAAGTTAACAAAAGAATGATGTTCAGTTTTTATTCTTTCTTTGATTCTAGACATTTCCTAAACAAAAACTGTCTCTGAAGGATGACATATAATGATAACTGTCTGTCTTGCCTTTTTGTTACTATGCAATTTCTTTTTAGGATGTGCAGCCTCCCTGCTGCGATCTAAACGGGGAACAATGCTAAAACTTTTGCAAATGTCATTTTCCGCCTCTGTATTCACACAGCAGGGTGTGTGCTCACAGTAGACATATTTTCAAAATGAGCTTCTTTATTGAGGCCATGCTGCAAATTACACTGACAGGAATCTTAAGGAGCCATTTTCTTTTAAATATGCTTTCGTAAAGAGACTTCTGTTACTGTCTCTGCAGGGGTTAGGTTTACATATACAGTTAAAATGTTTTTTTTTTGTTTCTTTCTTCAAATTCAAGATAATAGTTCAACTGTTTGAAGAATGACGTGCGAGTATAAGCAGCGTGGGAATACCCAACCCTCATACTGTTCAAGTAAAACACGGGTTCTGTGTCCCATCACACTAAAAGAAACATAAAACGTCAGATCACCGTATACAAATGCGCTTTTCATTTTTGGAAATGTGCTTTAGTCTCATTAAACCAAAGTTACAGGTTTTGGTTGGAATGACATTACCTACACTTAAAAGAAATGTAAATTTCCTCTACATTCTTCTACTGTGAAGTATGTGGGTGGGAGTATAATGTTGTTTTCCACAATGAGAGATGCTCTTACAGTGCATTCACAATAGGAAAGTTCTTTGTTCCACTTGTTAGGTCCAGACCTGGTGCAGTTTGTTGTCATATTGTGTCTTTTGCAAGTGAAGTATCCATTGTAAATACTCTGTGCACCCAGCCCTATAACATGCTGGCAGTGGGATGAGTGTATTCACACCTGCACCAAAGATCTGGACCAACTTGGAAACAAACTCTGGTCCGTTTAAAGCAGACCAAAAGTGGCAGGCGTGAATTAGCAAAATGGAGGTCTTTCAAAAAGACTTGGATCCTAATCATGCTGCCAAATTAGTTACTAAGTTGCTTAAGAACAAAGTCAATGTTTTGGAGTGAGCATCACAATTATCTTAGTACATCTTAGTAACATTAGTTTTGCTGGGAGGAATGGGCCCAAATTACAGCACACTTTTGTGAGAACCTTTTGGAAGGACATCCAGAGCATGTCACCGAATAAGGTAATTCTGTCAAATGCACAGGAAATGAACCTACACATTTGAATAAGTTTTTTTTTTTTTATTTTATTTTTTTTATAAATCTCTTATTCTGCCATGAAGCAAATATGCATAACTTTGACAATCCTAAGTGACGTAAAACATGAAAACTTTAATCTGATTTAAAGTCACACATCGAGAATATGTGGTCTCAACTGTGCATGCAAAGTAAAACATTGTAACCGTATTACTAAGTTACGTTTTCTTACCATGGGTTACGTCTGGCCACATACCCATGTCTCTCTGTGTCTGTCCTTCAAAGCCCATCTCTGAATGTGGTCCGCAATCTCCCTCTGAGGCATCTTGTAATTCAACACAGATGGCAGGTGGCAATATCAGCAAATTGGCAGTAAGATCTTACTAAATATATCATTACCCCAGGATGAGCCTTCTGTTCTGTTTGGGTGCTCTTTTGTCTTACAGCCTCAGTGGGAAAATGACACTCACCAGGTTGAAAGGCATGTGACTCTGGAGTAAACAAACCAAGGTGCCTGAATGTGATTCTTCGAGGTTGACTTAAGAAAAGACACTGACTTTCAGGAATTAACCTGTGCATTGAAGAAATAGCATATAATTGTCCCACTGATTTAATATATAGCGGCTTCTATGATCTTGAAATGGCTTTTACAATCATAATCTGCTGAAATTACATCCTTCATTGCAGCCCATCTTTTATCCCCCCCACTGTAGTTTACAATACACAAAATAGAGAAATATTACAAGGGTAGATAGAAATCTAACCTGTTGGGATTTCTGCTTTGTAGTGAATCGCATTCTTTCATTTGTAGATTTGTCTTGTTAAGAGATTCAAATGCAAATCCTGATGACTTTTTAGGCAAAAATGGAACTATGTCTTGAGGAAAACCAGATATAGTTAAAATAAACAAATATGCCATCAACATTTTTTTTAAATTAAATAGGCTTAAATACTTATTATTCTGTATATATCATTGATGCTTCTACTGTCAATTTAATTTTACAGCTTGTAAAGGTTGATATTTTATCATATTTTCACCGTGGCCGTGACAAGTTGAGCAGCTAAGGCCTTTCCTCTCCCAGAATGCTATAAATGTTATTGATTTATGGCCTGGCTTTACCTGAAAGGCTTGCTGCGCTCATTGTAGCCAATTATGGCTCCACACAGTACTGATTTTTAGTTGTGAAAAATGTTAAAAACTGTCTCTCATAGTTTTTCTGCTGCGCAGTCATACACAATTTAATCTGACATAAAATCCAAATTACTTTATGCTGAAGTTTGTGTTTATAATACAGTGGTGTCCAAACCTTTAAACACGTGGACCAAAATTGTGAAGTTTAAAGCTCTCGTGGGCCACAATTTTATTCATTTTTACCTACTCAACAGTAAACTGAGCACACACAGTACAAGCAAAGTATTCAGCGATCACAATGTTATGTTTACACCACGCCTTTAAATAAAAATAAAAGAAAAAAATACGGCTAATAAATGACAAAAGAAATATGTGTTCTTTACTAATACATTTTATTGAAAAGATTCAATTTAGCATTTTTTTTTTTTAGTTTGTAAGCATCAGCTGTCTGTGCTAGAGGGAAAAATTTGTACCATTCTTGAATTGTGGTCAAGGTCAAGCAAATATGAAGACTTCTTGCAAGCCGCTGCACATTTAGTAAAAAGATCTCCCAGACATTAGCGGAATACTAAAGTTTCCCTTTCAGTGTTCAGAATTATTTTCTTCACAAATGTTTCAAGTTCTCTTAATCTGGTTGCAGTTTCGTCTTCTCGGTAATCAGGTGTGGCATGATCAATCTAAAAGAGCAGAAAAATTTCTGTAATGAAATGTGGGATTGCATTCATGGTTAGTCTGTTCCAACTGACAGCTGTGATAAACATGAGGCAGTTAATGGCTTGTTTAGCTTCCCTCGGCTTCATTAAAAAAAATCAATTTACGTGCATTCAACTCATCTGACGGAGCCTCAGCTGCATCCATTCTCTGCTAAATGAGACTCAATCCCTGTTCCCTTTGAGATTTTAAACAGGTCTGTCAGTGTGATAAATAATGTCACTGAACGCAACATCTCAGTAACAGATTTCAATAGCTAAATCCTAAAACACAGACTATGTGAATTTTGAAGTCATGAATTTGCAGCACAGCTCTTATGTAATGGCTCGAGGGAGAAGTTGTGGTACGACAAGCTCAATTTAAATGAAGTGAAGGGTATCAGGCTGTGAATCTCAAGACATTTGAGTTACATTTCCAAGGATTTGCCATAGGAGAACATAATTTAGCTCCACATTTTATTAAAAAAATACTAAGAAATTCAGCCAGTTGTGCAGCAGACTTGTGAAGTTGTCTGGTCTGTTGCCTCGGGCCTTGTAAAGTTCTCCTCTGCACAAAGAACCTCAATATCAGAAAATCTATATTTAGCACCCAACTCTTTTCAGAAAGCATTACAGTAGTTTATCTTTTCCCTTATTGTTCTCCCACTGGCTCAGGCAACAGTTTAGCGTAAGTGGAAGCAGGTTTCTTGTAGAACAAAGTGCACAATCAGCTCTCTTGTCCGATCCCTACTATTATCTCAGAGTCAGCAGAATGCCAAATATCAGCCTACAAGTCATACACATATTGACAACCTAAAGCAGAGCTGCTGAAACACTGCCATAGTTCATGCATTTTATTCATACAGCTCATGCAACTCACATGCATTGCTAGTGTTGCAGAGATGTACGATTTTTGAAATATAATAATTCGTTACAGGCTGGAGTGCTATTTGCAGGTAATATCTGTTGCAAACTAAATTTGAAACGGTTAACTGTAGATTTAAGAAACAGCGTGTGTTGCTGTTCATTTGCATTCAATCTCAGAGATGGATTAGCCTCCAGCTGACAGAAGGCGACGCAATTCAGTTCCTTAATGGGGTCAATTTGAAACCAATTAATTGGGATTGTACAATCACACAGTGCATTTGCAATTAAAAAAAATATAATTTACAGATATTTTTTCACATACTTAACATTCACATTGCGTTGCTTGTTTTTGTTTTTCTTTTCATATTTTGTTTCTTTAAAAAAATCATGCGCAACGTGTGTCACACCTTGCAAATAAATGCGTACACCTGTCACATCCCCTCATCATCCAATTCCACTTGCATCCTTTCACTCACTTCTGTGACTTGAGTAGCCCGGGTTGTAGCCATAGTATCCAGTGATCCTCAGGATCCTGTCCTCTATGTCGTGCACTCCGTTGGCGGTCACTTTCGGGCTGTTTTCCACTGAAACGGCGCGGCTGCCACCGGTCGGCGTCGCCTTGCCCGGCAGGTGCGTGCTCTTCAGGGGCTCCAGCTGGATGCAAGGCTGGTCCCCACTCTCCAAGACACCCTCGGTGCTTAACATCGCGGGTCCGAGCGGGAAAAGACGAAGGGCTGATCGGCGTAAAACCCGACCGCCACGCAATAGGGAGAGAGACGCTCGGAGCTGAATCAACAATTAGCTGCAGGAGGATGACATTCAGCGTTCACATTCCTTCAGTGATGCTCCCGGACGCAGAGCAAGGTTATCAAACTCCCGTGGCCTGGCAGCCACAAAACACTAGGGGGCGTGTCACTACTATCTCCCAATTTAAGATGGTTTACAACCCCTGGGCAGAAAACGTGAATTTACATATAAGAGGAAATTTTACTCGGCTGAAAGCCAAAAAAGATAAGTTATAACAACTTGACATTTTTGGATCATTAAAATAATCCATTAATAATTTTAAATTTCTGCACATACCAGCTTTCCGGGTTTAAATGTTGTCATGAACAGTCTGATTTTAATTATCTGGTTTCTCAAAATATCAGTGTAGAGAATATTTCCTTAACTCTGCTGCATGGCAGAATTAAGCATTATGGATTATAACCACCTCATGCAACTTGATCAGAAAAATCAATAAATTTTTTAATTATTTATTTTCAGGTCTATGTGAAATGCATGGTAAAACAAGACAATATATGGATGTCGGATAAGGATTGCTTTTTGTTTTTTAGTTATGTTTTGATCACAAGGTCTTATTGTTTAAAATGTCTTGCCGTATTTGTTTGCACCACTGTGTTCATTATAGTTTGAAACGTGTTGCCATTCTTGTCCATTCCTTGTGTTTTTGTGTTCTGTTCTTTTTGCATCTGAGTTTATTTTGTGTTAGTCTTTCAGCTTTGGTGTGTAGATTTTTTGAGTCCAGTTCAGTTTCCTTTTTATCAGTCTGCAGTTGTTTTTATCCCCCTGCATCTAGTGGGATTCTCCAACATTTCTTCAGTTCATAACCTCACTAACTTTTATTGTTTTTTGCAGGTTCCTCCCATACTTCATGCTGTTCATGAAGTGAGTTTTTCAGTTTTCTTTGTTAAAATCTTCATCAGCCTGCCACATTGATTCAACTGGGAACCACAGTCTCAGACTGAGAGGACGTGTATGTTTTCCAGAGAGCAAACTGATCTGATGCACGGTGCAGGTCATGATTCTAAGATGCAAAAGGAACTGCATCATTTGCAAGAAAGCAAAGATGAGACCCTGAGATCCCTCCTCTCCATGGTGAGCTTGTTTGTGCTGAGGATAGTGACAAATCTTTGGTTATGCAAGGACCATGTCTAGTTCAGCATCAGTGGTACTCCATGTTCCTCATTAACCCTCTGATAACATGCCTCATGTATTACTTTCTTAAATGACTTTTTCTAATCACCTCTATTGTTTTCTGCTCCGTCATTGGGATTATTTTCATCCTGTCATTCACCCGTATTGAAGAACTTTTTAAAGGCTACAGGGAACTGTAGCCCAGTTGCACATATTAACACATACATGTATTCTATTAAGAGCTGTCTCTTAATGAGTGATCGGTTTAATTATTCTTTTTCTCCTCCACTTGTCCATTTTACATTGATTTAAAATCTTTTGGCCAAGCATAATATAAAGAAGATAGATGAAGAAAGACCTTTGGAAATATTATAAATTAAAATAGAGACAAATTAAACAAAATAAAATCACATTTTACTTGAATCAAGTTTAATTAAATTAAATTGGATTAATTTTGCATAATTCATGACAAGCACAGAGCTTGACAAATGAAAAATATACACAAATTATTTATAGATGACATTCTTATATAAAAGTTTAAGTTTGTTTTCACTCAGAAGGAGGTCCTCCACGCTTTCTTCAAAGTTAGAGATTATGAAGTTTGTTCACTTTTCTGTGTGCCATGCAAAGTTATTTCTCACCATTTTTAAGCACCTATTATGAATTTTATTCTAAGGTAACCGCCAGAGCAATCTCTTTTCCTCAGCCGGCCACAGGTTTTTGTGCCAGGCTCGGGAAAAGCTCTTCCTGACTGGATCCCCCAGCTTGCATTGCTCCAAATCCAATAACACAAGATACAGAATTTCAGTGTTCCTCTGATACGCCTCTTTCCAAGTCCTCCCCTCGCTGTGTGAAATCGATTCGTGGCGCGTGGAGAATTTGTGCCCCTGTTGGCTTTGTTGTTGCAGAAGCATGCTGGGGTTTATGATGCCCTTGGACGTCAGAGACTCTTCCTCCGCCTGTCTTACTTACTAAACCAATCTCCACCTCGCGTTCTTTTGTTTCAGTTTGTTTTTGTGCTCCAAAGCACTTATCTCAAACATTCAGTTCAGCCACAGCTTTGTGGCAGCAACAATGAAGTGCCAGTGCCCAGAAACTTTTCCCCATGCCTTTTGTGAGTTTATAATTGGACACTCTTTTTACAAGTGTGTGTGCAGCTACAGTTCAATAAAAAAACAAATATGGTTTGTTCATTTGTCTAACTTTGTCACAGTTTTGGGCAGTTCATACAATGGAAGTCCTGAAAAGTTTGATTTGAGCTCAAAAATTTCTTTGAGCTTCCAAGGCAAGATAAAGAGTTTAGCTCAGAGAGTAAAAGGCTCTCAATACAGGCCCCCGTTCTCACACTTTCATGGATGAGGTGTTAAAAATCATGTTTTGGCTCTTTTACATTTAAAACATGCTAACACATTTTGTCACATTACAAAGTAACTTTTTTATGTATTTTAATAGGGTTACTGTATGATTTAGATCAACTGATTATTGCTCATAATTGTGAAAACACACTTTCCAAACATTTACAAAATATTGTGTCCCCCTTTACTTTAATACCCCCAAATAAAATCCAACGTTCAAGCTAAGAAGAATAGGTAGAAGTATCAGTCTTAAGGTGTGTACAGCTGTTGCAGAAATACACCAAAAACCCGCAGCTGTAATTGAAGTTATAGGTAGTTCCACAAAGTATTGACCCAGAGGACAGTTTATGGAAATGCGCTAAACACTCAGATTTCTAGTTGGAAAATGTTTGGAAAACCTTCTTTTCTTTCTGCTTCACAATTATGTACTACTTGGTGTTGGTCTGTCACATGATTTGATTTTTGATTTTAACATAAGAGGTGAAACATTTTGGGACTGTTAATACTTGTGCAAAGCATTGCTCTGCAACACAAATTGCTCAGTTGTGTTAATGTTTGATGCTTTAACCTCTATCAGGTAAGGAAATGTATCTCTCTCTGAGTTTTCCATATTTTCTTATTATCCCATCAGTGAAGTTTTTATCTACCTTGGGACACATAATTATACTACATGTTACATTTTTTTTGTGTGCAATTTACATCAAATCTTATTTTGTGCAATTCCTCCAATTCCTCAACCTGTTCTTACCTTTGTTCTATCTGTGGTGCAACCAGGTATTTTCCTCTTGCTCTACAGCAGAGATTATTCCTTGCAGCATGAAGTGTGCGTAGAATCTGGTTTCTATTTTTAGACACCGGATCTAATTTTTGATGCTGAGGGATGTATGCTGAGAATATTTTTGGACATTTATGTAACAGCAGTAGTATTACAGCAACATCCCTCTGACTCTTCTCCTCCTCACTTGTTTTAAACTTTATTACCCACAACATTATCGTTTGTCTAAATGGAATAGAAGGACATGCCGAGGGGGTAATGCGTCCTGTGGGAAATCTGCAGACCGAACCCCAATCCAAGTGTCCCCCTCTGTGGCTCATTAAGTCACCTGAGAGAACAGTGACTGACTCTCCAGCCAAAGACTTTATAAATATCCAATGTGCACTAAAGATAACCTGACCTGTGCAGTTTAGAGAGAAGGAAGGCTGTTTGGCATGGGGATGACAAGAGTTTAGAAGGTAAAAAGTTGTGGTTTGCTTCGCGCTTCAGTAGGAAAAGATCATGTCTGAAAGCTTAGTAAATGTTTAATGAATAGGCTGGCCAGGTCTATGTGATGATAAAAAAATTAACAAGAACACAATTTGATTAAATAATCATATTAGAACATACATGTAGCTCAAATGATCACTTCTTGGGCAGCAGATGTGAGATAAAGTCAATAAAATTGGATTTTTCTCATTAATCTGCAGTTAGTTTGAGTAGTTTTCTCTTTTTACACAATTAAGCTGTATTACTATAACAACCTTTCAAAAACAACTAAAGGATGTTCATTTTTTTTTTATATGGAGATCCAAACCACATTAATAAAAAAAGCAAAAGTATTTCTTTATTTTTTAGAATTAAGATTGATTGAGAATAAACACTTAAATTTACA